AGAACATTTTTTTTTTTTGTATCCCCATAAGCAAAGCTTTGGAGCAGAGGGGTTTTTCCCGTCTCTCTCTAGCAAGCACTAAGAACAGGCTCCAGCCTCCTGCTGCTGGGCATGCGCATCACAGCCCTTTATGCCCTCTTACCTTGGCCTCAATTTCAGTTTTTCTGTTTAATTGGCAAGTTCTGCAGATGTTTTGCAGGACATCAGAAAAGAGTATGCACATATCGGATATAACTTCCTTTGAGGGGCCTTGTTATCTCTGCTAGGGCTCTTTTGTTCCCTTTTCTTGTCGAGATCAAACATCCACTCTGGATGGAAATCCTGTGGTCTCTGCAAGGCAAAGCTTTACCTGTATTGTTAATGTGTGAGAGAGGCTGATATCGCACTTGCTAGATCCTTCCATGCTACAGCAAGTCTCTCCTGTAATACCTTCCGTAGTGATCATAATTATGCAGCTTGAAGAAGATTAACGGTCTGATTCTGGACCAGCTTGAATCTCTACAGTTTGTACTGGCTTCTCATGGATTTGTGGGTAGGTATATTATGTATATAATATAGATACTGCCTGTAGGTGAATAAAAGACCCCATTTTTAGATCCATACTTACCGAAGTGCTTTAAACTCATTCTTCATTATTTACAGCAACAAGCTTGTAGCAACATTTTCCCGTTCTCTACGTTTGTGAATGCAGAAGGTCTCTACTGCTCTCACTCAGCAGCTTATCTGCAGACTGACCGGCTGCTGTAACCGGTACCAGCCCCGGTGTTCGCGTTGCACCAGTAATTCTCCTTCGGCACCCGTTACCGGACTCGCATTTCACAGGAATCCTGCCTGCCCCTGCCAGCAGTAAACCAGTTCTGATCTGACAGGTCAGTGCCCATCACGTTTCGTTCATTGCCTTCTAGCCGTTCATTACACCCAGAAGACGTCAGGATAGAGTTTTCAAGCTCTGGTGTAAGCAGAATAAACAGTGAAGAATAAATGCTAACCGAGCTCAAGGTGACTTCCATGTTCCTTTATAAAGCCTTCTTTTTTCCAATTTCCCCCACTCACTCTCTCTTAAACATCAGGGAATATTTAAAAAGTGAAATCTCTATTTTTCAGCCCTGCGAGACAGAAAGCTGGCCTACCTATGCTGTTGACTTCAGAAATACAATTTTTCATTATTCCCCATCTTTTACATCATGATCTAAGGCCATTACAGTCCTGAGATCCTTGTATTTTAATACCACACTTTTACAGGAAGAGTTCATCAGTTTGGAAGGCTCAACGTCTAAAATGTGCAAATAAAACTGACAAAACAAAAAAAACTTGTTCAAACACTTTTTTATTAGTTAAAAAAAAAAAAATATTTCCACGATACCTAGAGATCCCGAGTGCCGGTGCAGACGGACGTGCGACACAGATCAGTGAGTCCGACCAAAACACGCAAAGCGAGCGGGTCGGGAAGCCACGAGGGAGGTGGGGAGGGAGACACACACCCTGGTACACGGCTGCACTTCACTTACAGTCAGAGGAGTCTGGCTTACATATATTGTACGATTGGTTTATGAGGCAAGTGAAAGACTACAGAGCTGAATGTAGTTAGTCTATGGAGAGCGGGATTTTCCTGTTGGAGTGTCAGCTAATATTTCCATGTATGCTCTTGGAACGCTCTTTTGAGCTAGGAGTCCCTAAGTTGATTAATTGCCTTCATTTTCACCCTGTGAGAGAAGTAAGATAGGAAAACAGTTAAATATTTCCAGTGGAAAACATATATAAATAAAATCAGGAGAAAAATCAATGCTGGTAGTCACTACGTGAAAAACCCATAAACAACTGCATAACAGTAAGGACCGTATGTGCTGCAGAAAATAAACGAATTACCCCTTCTTTCTGGGAGCCAGACAGACTCCTGCTATAACTCAGGCCTCTGGGGAAAGCGAGGATGTGATTTCACGTGTGGTTGAGGTTGAGCTAACACGGGGCCGGGCTGGCAGCGGCAGGAGTGTCCTGCTTTCTGCTGCCAGGTGTGCCTCCCGCCCCGACGCGCCGCCCGACATTAGCCCTTGTGCAGCCGTGAAGTCAGTCGGGTTAGCGGGGTTCATTTTTGGGACTGGCAACCGGGTGGGGAGGGGGGGGGGGGAGGGCTGGGGGCCGGGCGGAGGGTGGGAGGTGCAAGCCGAGACTTTTGGGAGCTTCAGGCACCGTGAAAAGAGTCTGAGCTTCAGAGAAGCTGAAAAATGGGGAGTTTGGGTGCAGGCAGTACTGCGGGCCTTGTGGAGTGGGCAGCCCAAGGCCTTAGGACCGAAACTGTAAAGGATATACCACGTGAGAAGCGTTTGTCCATTTAAAGCATCCATGTTGGACAATAAGAGGTCGTCCTCCCTTGTTCAAGAGCTGAAATTGGCCCAGAGACTGACATTTGACCTAGGGCTTTAAAAGGACTTTGCAGGTAGAATAGATCAAAAATTAAAAGAACTAATTTAAATGTGGAAAAACCTAACTTGTTGTCTAAAAATCTATAGAAAAATCTAACGTTATCTAAAGCTCTTCTAAAGCATGGCTGCAACCAGGAAAAAGCTATTCCATGTGATGATAAAACCATAGGAAAGCATTAACTATTATATGTCTGTTTACACCCCAAAATCAGCCCAAATCAGGCAGCAGCTTAGAATCCGTCCAATCATGGCAAATTCTTGGTCCCAAAAAAGGAAGCGGCAAAAGAGAGAACCGACGAGCTCAGGTTTTGGTCAAATAACTCACGAAAAGTGGGAATACCGATGGGCTCGACGTGCGGCAGATCTATAACCACAGAAAGCGAAGGGGAGATTGTCCCGGGGGAAACCAGTAACGCAGAAAAAAAGTCCACGCGCGGCCTCGGGAGCCCGGGGACCGCGGGGAAGTCGCGGCTGTGGCGTCCCCTTACCTCTCCGCCTCTGTCTGTGCTTGCTGCCGGGGCCCCCTCTCCCGCCGCCCCCGGCTGCTCGGGCGGCTGCGGCGCAGCCAGGTCCTCCTGCCAAGTCACAAGCGAGATGTTTGTCCTTATCAGCACACGCGGAGTCATCGCCCTAAGCTCAGACGGACTATTTGAGCAGACTGCGCGAGATGGGTTTGAGCATTACACGTGCGAATAAAATACCGGGTTCAATAGATGGCAAATATTGCTCGAAATCCATTTTTTGTGCAGCTTGTTAGAGCAGCTGTCTATGAAAAAGCAATTCAATATCTTACAGCCTCGTTTAGGGTCTTTTTCACACAGAAAATCAGTTCTTTTTCTGAAGTTTTCTTTCCTGTCACTGAGACCAAACAGAGTTTTGACTCCTTCAGTGTGAAGAGATTTGGGAGCAACAAATAGATTTACCTGGAGTAAGATAGATTATGCCTA